TGGGATGAGTTCTATGGGTCAGGTGAGGGATAAAGGGCCATCTTGGCCCTCTTGTATTATAATAATTAAAGTTAAGTCTACAAAGAGTTTTGGTAAGGTTTGTTGACGCGGGGTATTAACCCTTGAACATAAAAGCCCCATTTGAATCATTATTCTATCAATATAATGGCAAAACAAAAATGTTTAAATGAACACAGACAATAAATTACCATTAATTACATAAATTCTTTGAAATTGAAGGATGACGTGTCTTAGACAAATTTCTTAAAATCAAGAGAGTCTCTGGAATGAACGCACATTTTATCAGATATTGGCTACTAGGAAACATTACGTTGGCAACATGAAATACCCAAGTAATATGCAAATTTGTCAGAATTTTGAATTTTAATGTGAACATTCCCCCCCCCCCTAATATTTTCGTCTCAAGTAACAAAGTATACTGGTATTGACCAACATAACCATATCATAAACTCGACGAATCTCTTTAGTATATATAGATAATTCAGAAGTCAGCTAGAGAACCCACACTATCCAGTAATTTCATATACCTGCATTTTGTTTGTACCATACGTCTATTATGATACTAAAAATAGGTTAAAATTTACAGTTGTTGAGTCCATAATAAACATCAGAATTACTACCACAATTGAAGTATTGTATGTAAATTTTGAATAAAATATAATATCGTTCAATGTATACATGAAAATTATATATCAGTGAAGTGCAATTAACATCATACGATGCTTAGATAGACATTTCGCATGTCAAAATCTATTTGTTTTTGTTCAACATAAACAACATATACATTGCATGTATAGACATATATAACAACTCTTAATATAGATGTTACATGTAGGAATATACAGAAGTTAAAATAGTTGTAATGATTAAAAATATCAACCAACTGATTGGAAAAAATAAGTTAACATCAAAGCGTGTTGTCCTAGTTGACTATATAAAAGTTTGTTAATTATTTGTTCAGTGGCATTAAATCGTAAATCAAAAACTTTGTCCAATTATTTACTAATCTGAGATAAACTATGTTTATTCGAAAATGACATAATGTAATAAAACTTATTCAATGTGGGAAAAGATGCATTATGATTTAGTCTCAAAAATAATGGACAACAAAGCAGGGAATGCTATTCATGTTTTGTGTACAAAGTTTACATTTTCTCTTATTTCACTCTGTTTAACCCTATTTATCTCAAATTTTGAATTTCTAAAGAAAAGGAGAACCAAGCCTGAAACATGAAGTTTTCTCAACTTTTCAGTTTGTTTTTAGATATTCCTCAAAACAACAATTATACAATTCATTGCCATTGACACACTGATCACAATGCATGATATGTATAGGCAAATGCTGATTGTTAACAATTCTGTTCAATAAACTGTAGATACCATTTTTACATAAAGCTGTCAAAGGCATAATTTCAAATGCTCCATAGACTTTGTTTCTTTAACACTAATTTTATTTTTAGTTTATAGATACATGTATCTTTATATTTGTATTTTCTTGGTGGTACTTGTACATTTTGCTATTGTATTATGTTGACTATAACTTGCAGTAAATAATACAGGACAGAGATCTGAAAATTCCATCCAATCCATTATAAATACATCGATCAAAGATAACATAATCTGTCAGCTGTACTCATAACAGCTCTATTTCTGAATTGTGAATGAAATATACAAATCCCTGGTTTTAAACGCTATTGGCTTTATTTTACACACAACCAAAAGAATTAACGTGCGTATCGTTGATTGATCGCTTTGGAATGTCTTGTTTTACGTCGGCTGGAAGAGCAGTAAAACAATTTGAGTAAATGTCCTCTACATGATCCATGTTTATGTCATATGATGAGACGAAATTTAAAGGATCAAAAATATTCAGCTTGGACTCGAATGAATTTATATTCCAAGATAGGATATTTATTCATTTCCATTTTACTTTATATTTTGTATTACCGCGGGACACCTGTAATTTTAGATCAGTTTTCTAATTTTGGTAATGGGAGAGAGAGAGACTACCGAAAACATTTTCACGTATTTTCCTCGCCACAAAAGTAATTTGCGTAAAAACAATCAAAGCACTTAAAGCATCTTTCTCTATAATCAACATGTTGCAAATATAATGTGCAGTCATGCCTATGAGATAGCTTTAACCAATGTTGACTAACACGTTCACAAAATTGTAACATAATTCAGACAAAGAAAAATGTAAAGTGCTCTAAACATTTCACAGATTCATAATCATTCACGATAAACAGCTATTATGAAATTATACAAAACAGCTCTACTTACTTGTCATCATTTTGTTATATGAATTATGATAGTTATTTATCCATGTTCACTGATAAAAGGGTATCGCAGAGGTCAAAATGAAATTTATGTTATTCAAACAAAATTATCGACAACTCACTTTTCCATAATAATGTATGCATACAAAGCAAGTTTAACAGATCGTCAAAAAGCATTTTAAACATTTGCAATTCATAAAACAAGTTATACAAAAGTGTAAAATGTGTTTTTATCTCTCTTAAACATTTAATGTTAAATTCTTCTATTTTGGTATTTAAAAAAGAGAATATATGAATATTTCGGTATCTTTTTATGAAAATTTTATCAGGCGCATACCATTGTATTTCAGGAGACCAAATTGTTCCTCTGTCACCGACATAAGATAGGACTGTTTCTTGAAACGGACTTAAGCACAAAACATTATTTCCAAAAGTTGATCATATGCCTTTTGACTAGATACTTTTTTATGAAACGCAGTCCAGAGGTTATGTCTAAATTTAAACAGGGAAATAGAGTTTTTTCTTTTCAATATGCCTTCATCTGCTTATATGCCAGTCTTGTTCCAAATATTAATTTAAAATAGAAACGTTAACACTTAACAGAATTTCGTAAAAGTCTATTTCTTGAAGGAATCGTTTAATTGAGTAAAAACGCAGCATCTCTGCCAGCAAAAAGGCCTCGTGTTTTAAATCTGCATATCTGCATATCTAGGTGGAAAGAAATTACAAAAATTGCATTATAAACATGTGCTGAAAAGGCTCTTTAGCATTTGTACTTTTTATCCTAAGATAGTTAACTAAAAGCATAAATACGAGTATATGTACAAAACATTGCATGCTTTTATCCTTTTTTCAACAAGTTTCAATTTACTTTAGAATAGAATATTGTTTTATTGAATTCAAGTCTCGATTTGACCTGGCTATTAATTTTCATACACTTATATTATATGTGCTTTACAATTACCTTCTGCTTTTATTCCATGTTTGCTTTTAAATGGAAATAATTACGGTGAAGAAGATTTTCTTGAGGGCTTTTGATACTACAATTCAACGGGACATGACAGTCTTTAGAGATTCTGTTTAAAGATAAAATATTATAGAATGAATGTTAGTTGTATTTTTACACATGTATAAATACTTGAATATAATGTCTCCGAAAAAGACAGAATTTCACAATATAACACCTATTATACTACTATCATTCCAGGCGAGCCGTGTCAAAAAGTGTGCATTTAGTGCAATTGATATACAAGGTTTCTATTTTTTTAATTACGGGCCATCCCGGTTCATAAAATATTTTTGCGGCCAAATTGGTTACTTGCAAGACTGTTTACCTAATGACGAAGTAAACTGATTACCCAGCTGATAATTTGTTTGATATGCATAAAACAATTAAGACAGTACAATAAATAAGTTTGAAAGTCATTTTAATAGAACTGTATGCACTTTAGACATGCACACAATAGCCGATTATTTCAAGGTGAAAGCACATGCATGGCAAACAAAAGTACGATGGATTATTCAAAGTGTCAATGGTTATTTTATAACAAATATCGGCGTCGAACAGTTGACTTTTCAAATCACTTTCAACTTTTCATACAATTAGCTTTGCTCTTGAGAAATACTGCTGAAGTAATAAAATGGGAAAAAATTGGACCAGTATAAATGGAAAGATGATCTTCGAGGTATTTTACAATGATTTAATAGATTATACTCCGATTTTATTGGAACGTGCGCTAGAGATAGGCCTAACATATTAAGTAAGCTATCGGATGTTATGACAATTTTAAAACGATGCAGGTCGAGTATAAAATAATTAAGATGCCGGGCACTGCACGATAGTGATATTCAGCATGAATGGTGGGGTGGTATGTGGAACAAGTTAAAAAGCGAAAAGTATGAATGCTTACGAAAATTTTAGTACACTAGAGCATCAGTCGATTACCATCATTATGTCTCAAAACGAAACAAATATAACAAACATATGCAAAATGAAACGAAAACGATGCGTAAATGACGCAAAAACCTTATAGCGAGTAGCAATGTTCTAAAGCGATTCTGACCAATCTGAAAATAAAGAATGTTACCAACTTAAAAACGGGGTTGAATGATTTTATAGATTTTGATGGATGGTATTTAAGATATAATTTATGTCGTTTTCATATATGGTGATGTCGTTTTGATAGATGGTGATGTCGTTTTGGTAGATGGTGATGTCGCTTGGATAGATTGTGATGTCATTTCATATAATGGTGATGTCGTTTTGATGGATGTGATGTCGTTTTGATAGATGGTGATGTCGTGTTCATTTATTGTGATGTCATTTTGGTAGATGGTAATTTCGTTTTGATAGACAGTAATGTCCTTTTGGTATATGGTGATGTTGTTTTCATAAATGGTGATGTCGTTTTTATAGATGGTGATGTCGTTTTTATAGATGGTGATGTCGTTTTGATAAATGGTGATGTCGTTTGGATAGGTGGTGATGTCGTTTTCATATATAGTGATGTTTTTGATAGATTGTGTTGTCGTTTTGGTAGAGATGATATTATTTAGATATATGATACTGTTTTGATATATAATCACAGCACCGTTGAGAAAATGAAAGCATCGTATATTGAGATCACAACACCATTTATCAAAACGACATCATCATCTATCAAAACGACATCAACATATACCGAAATCACAGCACCGTTTTTAAAATGAAATCGCAGCACCATCTATCAAACCGACACCATCATTTATCAAAACCACATGCCCATTTATCTGAACGACATCACTAATTATCTTAATCACATCACCATCTATCAAAACGATATCACCATATATGAATCCGACATCACCATCCACCCAAACGCCCTCGCGATCTACCAAGCTGACATCACCATCTATTAAGAGGACATAACAATATCTCAAAATCACAACACTGTCTATTAAAAACACCGTATACTGAAATAGCAGCACTATCTATCATACCGACATCACAATGTACCAAACTAACAACACCGTATATCGGAATCACAGCACCATTTATCAAAACGACAACACTATTAATCAAAACGGTTTCTCCATATATCGAAATCACAGCACCGTTTATAAAATGAAAGCACCGTTTATTGAAATGACAGCACCATCTATCCAAACGACAACACCATATAACTAAATGACATCACCATCTACAAAACCATATCACCATTTATAGCTTATACTTTTTATTTTACAAGAAGGTTTTTAAAGATTTTCCTAAATAACGTTATATAAAACTGATAAGTCCCTATTGGGCCACTTTTGTCCCTAGGATCATTATTTATACAATTGTTTTAGAGGGCCATTTGATGAAATTACATACTAAACATCAAAGCTCTATGTCTTGTCGTTTTTGACAAGAAGAGTTTTTAAGATTATCCTATGAAACTCTATGTAAATGTAGTGAGACCCTTATGGGGCCCCTTTTAACCATATGGGCATAATATGAATACTCTTCGTAGAGGACCACTTGATGATGTTACATTACACATATCAAAGCTCAACGCCTTGTAGTTTTTGACAAGAAGATTTAAAGACTTTTTAAAAATCTTTTGCTTGCCATGGAAACCAGAGTTCTGGATGGAATTCAATTATCTGAACAACTGTAGCACAGCTCCGTGCAAGGAATATGCCTGCCATGTTTTAATAAATTTGACATAATAATAAGAAAATATTTTAAATGTGCTCTATGACCATATATTCATTGTCAGCTAGTCCTCGATAATATTAGTCCGCTGATTCTGTTTTCATTTTTGATCACCATAGCAGAGCGCAATAATTGGCTTGCGATCCCTAATGTCAAGGTCACACTTCTAGATGAAGTTTTAAAAAGTCTACATTTTCTGTCCGCTCCATAACATTCAAAGCGCTGCAATGTTTTTAAGATAACTTAGCAGAAATGATCAACATTATGACACCATGTGCAGAGCACAACAATCAAGTCACTATCCTCAAGGTCACACTCTAAGGTCCAATTTATAAACATCTCTCTTTCATGATCGTTCTATACTGTTTTTCTAAATTAAAGGTTTTAAAATGTAATCCCCTTCTGCAAAGCGGAATGGCTTGCTATATGAATGATGTGATAAAGGCAAAAAATATCGATGCAATTTAATACAGTTTACGCACAAGATTTAAAGATAAGACTGTTCTTGATACCTTTAATTTCAATTACGACCTGATGGCCTAAATTTGAATTGTATGTACATGATTGCAAGTTCGGATCTTCGGCAAACCCTTTTGTTTTTGTTTAATTCATAAACTGATTAGAATTATACAACATGAGTTTAAATCATAGCGTTTATTATTACGCAATTTAATTAATTTGATTAAATCATTTTTTTTTCATTTAATTAATTTCATTATGTTAAGTCGTACAATGAGTGATTTACATGTTTAAGAAAACATAGCTGTCAAGTTTTTTTTTGGTCTTTTCGTTTATTTCAAACTTTTCGTATTCTATTTTTACAGTGTTGTCTTTAATCACCCATTGATTGTAAATTGGAAAATTTGATTTCCCGCTGTTTTTTGAACAAATTATTGTGGTCATGTGACGTAGTGCTCACCCTTGCACAAGTCTTGTTACTGAGCAGATAAAAGTGTACTTGCTTTGCTAAACTTTAATTAATTGTAACTATTTTGGTGTTCTTGGAAATTAAAGGTTGAGGTTGGTTGGTCTTATTTATTACTATTGAGTCATTTTTATCAGTCACAGCACAGTAAGAATCAGAGAGTGACAGGGGTGTATTATATATAGAAGACCTGATCCACAATGGTATCTAAATATATGTTTTGCTTGTGTAATTTAATTTAAGTTTGTCAATATGTTTATTGATAATTTTAAGTAAGGACTAAAAAAGATATTTCTAGACTGGCTGACTTGACCAAAGTGTGAATTTATAGCATAATATTGTTATATGTGTTTAAACTCATATATCATACATATATGTATTATACTTTAAAAATTTGTTATATAGCAATTTCTTGTATTTGTGTAATTCACAGGTTTGATATATCAATATCATATTGTACGTTACTGTCTGAAGATATGTAGAAACATTTGAAAGCGCTAACAGAAATAAACGTATAAAAAATTAAAGAACTTTGTACTCTGCATTTCCCAAAACATACTTTATATATATATATATATATATATATATATATATATATATATATATATATATATATATATATATATATATATATAATATATATTACAACTGGACTTTGTTGTATTGAACCCTTATACCGACTGCTGGCTGGGGCAAGTGTGGTTGGGCAATATTATCTTCATATATGGGCTGGAGTCCACCTAGTCACACTTCAAAAAATGATAGAGGAGAACAATATTAAAGAAATTAAAGAAATTCATATGATCCTAACCTACAACCTTCAATTTGAATTAGTAATTGCTACTCATTGTCACTGAGGCTGGTATATATATAATACATTTAGAAGACTTATGTCCTAACCAAGATTAAGATCATACTTGTAGTTTGAATGTGCTCATTCTCACAAGAACATGAACAATATAGCAAATATTTTCTTTTTTTCTTTTATTCTCTTTTTATTTCATAATACCTTACTGTAAATGTTAAAAACCTTTTTGGAGGCATTTGTCAGTTTTTTTTCTTAATTTATTTCTCAAGGAGACCCAGATGAGTTAGTTGTCGACAAACCTGATTTATAGGCCAAGTTAAAATTAGGTTGTTTATGTTTGTTAAACCATTTATGTTTTGTTTTTGGCTTCAAACGGAAGTATAATTGTATTCTAATAGACGTTATAAACATGGAATCTTTTTCGGTGCGCCAATTGAGACGAATTTGTAAGAAAGAAGGATCGATGGAAGGAAGGAGGAAAGGAACAAACAGAGAAATAAATGGTTGTATAAAAGTTAAACAAAATAATTAATAGCAACAATAACTTTTCAGTTTGATATGAACGGCGAATAATTATGATAAAATACTACATGTTTATCTATATTTATAAAACGTTAGTGCTTACTTTGATGCATAGTTTTCCAATAGTGTGCACAACGTTTGAATATATACAGATCCATCTCTGTCATTTCTAAAAGCCACATATCCAGAAGTTGTAGCAAAACCAAGTAAAAAGTCAGCTTTTTCTGGAAGTGATCCTACTTTAAGGTTCCTTTCACCGCCCAAAGCATTGGGGCCATCTGCTTGCCACCCTTAGAAAATAATATGTTTGGTCAGAAAAATTGGTTAATGTGCAAAAGTTTGCTTCATTAGAAAAAAGGACGACGGCAAATAAATGTTAAAATTTGATAAGATATAAAACTTACACAGACAATACGCCAAATGAAAAATAAAATATAATAAGACCAGTCCACTTTTGTCAGTGCTGAATAGATAAATAAAAGTAAAATAGAAAATGGTTATAAACTACAAATGTGTTTAGCAGTCTTTAATATCCTTAGTTGTACTAAATATATTTGATAGTTTTTGAAAAACTTGCAAATATCCTAAATAGAAAGGGAGATTATTAAGCAAAAAAATGCCTTTCACGTTTAAAGTGAATGTTTTTGATATATTTTAGGAATGCACCAAAAACAAGGCTGTCCGCTAAAAATTTCAAAAACAAGAAGAGCAATGACTGAGCAAATATAAATCAGAAGATAAGCTGTCCTATAGAAACAAATCCAGATTTTGCCATTGGGAGAACAAAAATTATTTCAAGTGCAAGTGAAAAGCTATGGCTGTCTTTTAGAAATTGACCGACATTGACAAAAGGGCATTACTTTGCGCAAAGAAATGCTGTCATACTTAGAAAGTTAAAATGCATTCTAAATCCGAAGAGACGTACTTTGAAAGTATCTGAATAATGGACGCAAACAAAAATGTTAACCAGGGCAAAATCCAAGATGAACAATAATACTACAATGACTTGGCCATACACGCCCGAGTGCAAAGTTGTTTTCAGTAATAAAAAGTTATCAAAAATTATTTTAAATAAGAGAAGTGATCCATTTATTGCACTTGCATTGAACATATTTTATGTTGCGCCCTTATAGTTTTAATTTTGAGGTACAAAAAGGTGGTATTTTGCATCCATATTAATGGTATTCACGGCAGTAAGCCGCAATGAATTTACCAGAGCACAGTTTAGCCACCGCATCGTTTCTGGACAGGTTGCCAAGCAGTTAACTAGTACTAGTTTGCCTTCACTTTTGCTAGGAGCTTAACTGTTGCATATACTAGAGTAGAGAAACAGAGCTTATCGTCACATTAGGGCAATAAAGTAATAAGTGCTTCTAAATTTAATAGCAGTTATTTAGTTATTGCACTAAGGTGACGTTATGACCGTAGAAAGGATTTCGTGATAAATCACAACGAAAGTGACCTACACCGTCCGGTAATCGAACCCGAGTCGCTCGATTCACAGTCCAACGTTCTACTTATTGAGCTAACTGGACGGCTCATTTATCTCCATACAATTTTCACGGAGTATATATACTGACTGAAAACAAGAATAGTGTTGGTTTTTCAAATGATAAAAATTCAAAATAATATGTCTGATAGTAATCAAATTTTTAAAATGGTATTTTCTTATTTATAACCTCCCTTTATATTAATAATTTCAATACCCACACAGACATTCAACGTAAGTTTATGATTTGTACATAATAATAATTCTACTCTTGTAAAGCCAAAAAATGATGCTGCATTATAAATATTTATGCTTTGCACGTTGTAGATAGGAAAAAAAGACTTTTAAGACATCGACATGTATACATTATAAATCTGTGTATTTATTGTGTACATATTGTGTGAGACCTACACCCTTTTCACTCCTCCTGGGCATACCTTTTTCTTTAATATCAGTGATTTTGTAACTATTCAAAGGATCTTCAAGGTAAACATGATACATGCCAAATTACTAAGATCTGTAATTTGCACAGTAATGCATACACGTAAATAAGTTTTCCTGACTAAGTGAGCGCTGGGACAGGGCCATTATTGACTCCAGGCGTATGATTTATAAACATATTGTAGATGTTAACAAGGCAATGTTTAATGCAAATAATCTAAGTTTTAACATAAAATATAATATCTTTTAAACATGATTAAGATATTGGTAAGTTTAGCCTAACAAAAGTCAAATCTGCCTCTGCAAAACGTATCATTATTGTTTGGATTTCTGCTAAGGCGTTTCAGTTTTCTTCCTATGGTTCAAAAGGTACAGACAAGACACGAACACTGATTTCAGATGGATGGACAGACGGACGACCAGATGCATAGAAGAGTTATAAATAGAGGCAAAACTTTTGCAAAAAAAATGTTGGCGTCCTTTTACGCAAATAATAATGTGTATCAAGTTTGAAGTGTACAGCTGTTATAGTTTGTGAGGAATGGACATTAACGAAAACGATTACCAACTCAGACGCCGGCGCTAACACCGACGAGACAGTCATAAAATTACTCTATTTTTTCTTTCTTCTAAAAGTGGACCAAAAAGGCCGGCAACTCATCCTAATGGTTATCATACATTTTTCAAGCAGGAATATTTAAAACATCCATGTTGAAAAAGATCAAATTATAAATAAACTATAAATACTTCAACAATATAGTCGTGTTGAACTAAGACCCAGACTGTACCAACCATTTATATTAAATCTTAAATAAAATTAGAGTTAGATAGTTTGTATACCAGTTGGTAATCAAACAAGGGCTGTTTTAAACTAATCTGAAGCTTTCAAACTATTGAAGCTAAGAACATATGCACCCATTTATGCTTTATTTATATCATTGTATAACAACAACTTGTACGTCTGCATACAGGTGTCCAGCATCTCATCCAAAATAAACAAAAAACACGAACATGGTAAAATTGCTTTCTAAATCTATTGTTGTTTCCTATGAACAAATTGGCGTTCTAGTCACGATCTTAACAACAAGAAATATATCATCGAAAATTGTAAATGTTAAATTTATTTATCTAAATCTACTAAAATAAGCGGCCGTTAATTTTAATCTGTCATAAGCTTATATGTTTGATTTTTAGATGCTTTATAAAAAACTCACCGCCCATATGATCACTCCCTTGACATGCTTGGAAAAAAAAGAGTTTTGGTTTTCCTGCAAGACTTGGGCAACATGACGCTTGAAAATAACTAGTCATTGTTTCAATAGTAACACATTCTTCATCGCAACAAATTACTTCATCTTTATCTCCATGCGATAAGATACAGCAGACAAAACAATCCATCTGAGTGTGATTCTTTTTAGCATATTCCTTCAAAATTGAATCCATGGCTTCGCCACGCATATTTTCTTTCACCTCTACTATGAATTTAAGTTTCTTGAATACTTGCGACAGACGTGCTAAAATATCAAAACAAGCAGATCATCTATTTATTTTATATATAACTGATATATTTTATTTTTACTACAAAAATTTCAACAAGTAACTCATAGTGTATGAAAAAAACCACTTTCAAAATGTAACCAATGAACCGATTTTGCCCCATGTAATATCAAAATATAAAATAAAATAATAGGTCCAATATTGTCAGTTCAGTTTCGTTTTCAAAATATCTATATTAAACCCGTATTGTATTCGAAATAAAATAATATTGCCAAGTGCGGTGGTGTGAATATAGAGAAAGGTCAGAATATATATTTTAGTGTACACAGCGGCATGTTCAAAATAGGATCGACAGCTGTGTACGCGTCTAAAACAATTTGTGCGTACAGATGTATTAAATCCTTGTTACGTCAGTTCTACTCATTTTAAATTTATTGCAAATAAATATGGACAATTTAATAAAAAAAGCTGATTAAAGTCATAAATGTATAGCAGATTTCATCGATAAAAGTGTAGTGTGGAAAATAGGAACAAGTCAAAATCCTAATTAAATGTCCAAGAAATATTTGAAAAATATAAATTCGTGATAAACCTCTATCTTTATGAGATCCTTTTCTTTCTGGAACAGAATTGTCATATTCCTGGTTGTTTATTATCAAACACCATCCTATAATATAAATAAAAACGTTTCCTTTCGACGTATGGTTAATAAGGAAGCCCTTACTTGGAGTAAGTTTAAAGCATTTTTCAACTGATGAAAATCCTAATATAACTTAGAATGCTATCATTTTTTTTTTATCTCTCAACAACTTTCTATTTCCTGCAATCTTGTTACAATTTCCAAAACAATTCTCATTTGCTACCAAAATAAACATTGCCTTCATTTGCTCTATTGTCAATGGGGTAAACATAGTGATAGAGTTTTTTGTATGGGTACCACTTTATTTACATTTTGCTACCTTACCATCACATAACTACACATTCGACGCAACTTTCTTTAGATGATAAACATATTATATACTCTTAAAGCTGCATGCCTCCAGATGTACGAAAATATTTCAATAAAATCAAACTTGAGAAAAATGTACTAAGATTTATGGAAAAGTTAAAATATTCAAGATTTATGTAATAATTTATATTACATTTTATGTGCGATTTATGACTGATTTTTCAGTATTTTTAACTATATTTCTACTGCATTACTACCGCAGTTAGGGCTATTTTTGCACATTTTGTCCCCTTTTTTGTTATGTAAGTGGGTTGCAGTTGCAATTGATAATGGGTAAATTGCTTCCTTTTGGTTATCTCACTAAATAATACTTTTAAACACATTTTCAAAATTTTCCTGAAAATTAGCATGAATCTGTATGGAGGCTATTCGTTGCCAAAAATCCAGCCGTTTATATCTGAGTTGATCAGTTTGTTTACGGACACAATACAATTGTATTCCTTTGTATGTAAACTCCAATGTTGTATTCTTGGACTGAGTTTGCCGATTTAACATTGAAAGCATGCATTTCAACAAAATACATTTTGTTAAACGACAAAACATTAACTGTTTTCTGATAGTAGCAATACCAAGTGTTCATCTCATTGTTCGTGTATACGCCGACAATCAGAAGTAACTTTCTTAGTTTTACATTGTCAAACCATCATGATTCGGATCAGCATAATCCAGCTTTACTCGTTTTTCAATAAGAGATAGAATAAGCTCCCCCCATTTTCCCGCCCACTACATCATCGTAAATAAACGTATTTATCTGCTCATTTTCGGTATTTACCGCCAACGACAAAAGGAAAAAAGAAAATAAAACCGTTTAACCACACCTTTTAGGTGTTTAGTTATTCACCATAACATAATCCATTTGTATGATTGCCATTCTATGTCTTTATTCAATCAATATCAGCGGTCTTTAAATGATTATAGGCATTTAAGTTTTGAAACGTTGTAGATACTAGATTTCCTAGAAAAAGAAACTAAAAAAAATAATTTAAAAAAAAACTCAACAGGTTACTTACTGTCTGAGGTTAAATATTTTTCAAGGAAGTAAAAAGAATTGATAAGACTATACTCAACGACAAATAAATTTTACTGAGAGGATACCAGTTTGCATAGGAATGAGTAACATTGACAGTTAAGCTTTCAAATTTTCAAGTCAACATCTGATAGAGATTTTGATACGACTAAATACATATACAGACCAAATTCTGGCTGTTGTCTTTCCTAGTAGTAGCATTTACTATTAGTAACCTGAATTCTAGCGTATGTCTTGACAAGAAAAAAAACTTTTAACAATAGTAATATAAAAACCAAAGTTGTATGTACCCTTTCGAACATAATGTTTTATTTTTACCATACTGTATAGATATATTTTCCAATTTTTAACATTTTCTTTTCAATAATCATATTTAAATGAGTCCAAAGGTATTTATATTGATTATCAATTTAGGTATTACTTATTTATTTTATCTCTAAGAAAACACTATCAAAACTTAATAAATATTCCATGTAGTATTACATGTAAATAAAAATAGTTCTCTGCTTTTGATCAGAAGGTAATATCTATTGACAGCAGCATGTATACACATATTTTAGAGCTATTATTTTTTCAGTACAATGTATAAAAGAAGACCTTAACCTACGTCAGCTTACATAAATATAATAAAAGGCTGACTTAAAATACCTCCCAATGGAGGTAAACATAGATGCTAGGACACACTGAATATTTATTTCAACATTTTATTTCAACATGATATTGGGACAAATTCACAAGTTTTTTGGTTATATTACGGAATTATCGATACTAAACTTTGAATTGTTCCGGGCTTATACACTTGGTAAAAAATTGCGTTTTTCTACAAGCCAATATAGTCCTTTAAAGAAAGAATGCACAGCCTTACAGTTCTCTTTACCGTGTTGCCAAAAGTGACTTGCATGTATCGCATTCTAATACTGTTTGTTGAATGTAAAAGACATAAGTATGTGAACTTCTGTTGTGACGTTTGAAGACACACATACTCTATCGATATCTGTAAAACTGTTTGTGTAGTTATATATGGGAAACATTTTCTTATGTAAATTCACCAACTTTAGCATTTGCATATTATTATGCTCATTATCAGTATAAACGTTTTTACATTGTTACATTATATCTTAACCAACTTTGCATTACTTGAATATCCTGTACTAAAATACATTTTAACAACATCTGAGGATGATCAAAGTCAACTGTAATGCAGCTGATGTATGTGAAATTTATAAAAGTTTATATAATTTGAAATATTTTTGTACTAGCAAGAGTTACCTCTCTTTATATTCTGCTTTCGTGAACATTGGCTCCGTCTATTAATTTTCGCCTATTTCCGAGATAGTTCCATACATGGAAGTTGCAAAATCGTTTACAAATGTTAATCGCGTTAGAATGTAAAAGGAAAGTGCGGTGTTGTCAACCTGAGAGTGTCACGAGATGCAGTTACATTCTCAACGTCATGATGCACACCATTAAACGTGTTGTTTACGTTCTATCGTTAACATTTCTACACGTCAATTTGAAGTTATACATTTCTAAATACAGTTTGCAGTTTATCTAAGTTGCATGTTTACAGATTCCATTTTATCAAAGCAAAATAATCAAAACGCGTAATACCAGTGCAGTATTTAACTCTCGGATCGCCAATTATATTTTTACTAATCTGTTTAGTAGAACCGAAGTGTGCGTTGTCATTTTTCAAAGGCTTGATTTTTGGCATTAAATAGCCTCCATAAATCTGGAGACAAGCTGCTTTAATCCATTACTAAAACATTATTCAACACATGTGTGATATTTCAAAAGAATTAAAAATATATTTGGATTTCAAACGACTATGTTAAAAGTGTATGTACATTTGAAACTCATTTTAATTATAAATATAAGGGTTGTCCGGAAAGTTCGTAGACAAGACTTTTAAATTACTATAAACAGTCATTATCAATATGAAGATTGAATATTTTGCTAAAGTATTTATTTGCTACATATTTCTAAATTAAAAGAAATGATAGTAATAAAAGAAACAGTAATATTCGCAAAGCGCCGATCACCATGGCAACATGATCAACGAATCACGGAGCACTTTGATTTCATGACGATAGCTCGAGTAAAAAGTTGCTAAAAGTTTAATCTTTACTTTAAAAACAAAACCATCCATAAAATGTTGAAGGCAACTTGTGTTTAAATGTCAAACAAGATTAAGAAACGGTGATGACAGTATATCGTATAAGAAACGCTCCAGACGCCTTAAGTTATCATGGGCTAGACATCGTATATAGCATGACATGAACAATGACTGTTGAAATCGGAAGAAATTGAATAGCGGGTAACCATGAAGTTAATATGACGCCGTTGACGTTGTCAAAGTGCTCCATGATGATGTATATGTTGTATGTAATTACTGTTAAAATACAAACGTAAGTCACAGTTCAGTAATTTTTGATCAATGTGTTCGCTAGATATATATATTTTTGCTGACATAATTTGTACAACATATGTATTGTTATACAATAAAAAAATAAAGAAATATATGAACTTTCCAGACATCCCTCGTATGTTTACTTATTTAAAACAGCCACGGCACTACTTAAAGCGATTGTTCTTTACCCAACGAAACAGTAAAAATCTAATATATAATCGTTGATCATGTCAAAGTTACCAACTATTCATACAAAAGTATTGCTAAAAGTATCTTCCTGTCAAATGCAAAAATTATTGATAAAGGATAACTCCATCAAAAATTTGTTTAGTAAATATGTTTACTAAGATATCAGCAAATGCATAAATGAAAGTGACCAATTACTCATAACAAAGGACACACAAAGGTATTTACGTACCAAAATTATCCATTCAATAACACCAGTGTTTTATTACACCAGTGACCTTGAATTTAACTTACATTTCATCATTTCTTACCAACAAATTAAAATCTCCTTAGGTATATCCATACTAAACATGGAAAGCGTAGGCAATAAATTAAGATTTAATAAGCAAAGTGTACCACTCATTATTTATCATTATTAAAATATATCATTATAATCATACTTAAGCAATGAAGCAGATTGCCTTTTATCTCTCTCGGATCTCTTTTTGAATAAAATGTAATCAATACTTTTCAATTAATCATCTGAGCATGAGCTTTTTGGACCTATAGACGTTTTTACCAAAGCTTATTTATTCACCTCTTTTATCTTTCTCTTTCTCCATTCGGTATTCTTCGAAAGCATCTAAAATAAAAAAGACACTAGTATAATAATGTTATTTAATATATATATAATTCTAGAAATGGCGAAGAAGACAAAAACTGTTTGTAGCATAACGCCTCCAGATTCATGCTAATTTTTATTATTCATGTATGGTTACGGGATAAAGTCTCAAATATATTTAGTCTTTATGAGATAATAGGTCACAACATGGAGTAGTAAATTGATCTTACATATATCTTACATATATCTTACACAACCCACATTATCAGTTGTTCCCAAGGACTCGGTCCTAGAACCTCTCTTATTTCTTATCTATATAAATGTTATTTGTAACTTCTTAAATTTTCTTACTATCTACTATTTGCATACGACACAGCTGTGTATCTTTCTACTACTGTAGCATTTCTCTCATACCACCTACAGCAAGAAATACACCAGCTAAAACATAGGACACGAAGTATATTCCTTGAAATGTCAAGTCATTCAGATTACAAATCGGTAGACATAAATACAAACACTATACACCATCCTAGAATCATCAGAGTACCTTGGTGTCACTATACCAGAAAATCGAACTTGGAATAGCACCTTGACAACATTGTTAAAAAGCAAACCAAATACAAGGCTCTTGCGACGAATATCTCTGAACCACTTAAAATTAAAGCCTAAAAGACACTTTTCCGACCCGAGTACAGTTCCAGTGTTTGGTTCCCATACACTTGAGCTCTCATTGACCAAATTGATGTGAAGCATCATGCTACGCGCTGTATCAAAACGAACTGCGACCGTACATCAAATTTCTCTGCTTAACTTGATATTTTCTAAAGTGGAGGAGCCTAGAACAAGGACGAAAAGATAAGTCCCTTATCATGCCTCAAAATATCCTGCAAATAAGGTTGCAATTCTTCTTCCTTACTACCTTAAGTCGGCAACTAGACCAAACCAAAGCGAACAACCCATTCCTTTGCTTAATACAAATGCAAACAACTACCAATTACTACAAAACCTCATTCTTCCCAAGGACCATTTTTCATTGGTATGCCTTCCCCACATGTTATCACCATGGCCCGGGCCTATACCGTAAGCAAGATTGGTCATTTACACACCCGTCTTGCTTTTATTTTAAACATTTATCTAATTGTTTTACCTTTGTCATAATTAAGGACCCCGGCAGGGTTTTGACTAAATGAAAGACGGACAGTCCGATAGACAGAGGGATAAATTATTGCTTGAACTATTTTACTTTTCGCAAAATCTTAGTGTATTTTTGTCACATTTGATTGTCTTGATGTATGCTGGCTCAACTGGAGGCATGCATCTTTAATACATTTTTTTCACAGACACACATTTCCCAAACCTGTGTTACAAATATGTACCAAAAACCATCGAATTTTTTGTGTGATCTTTTTAAAACTATTTCAATAAACTTGTAAAACAATTTTCCCTTACAGTCTTTTTTTAGGATTGTATAAATATAAAGCTGTATTTCAGATAAAACGTCGTCGAGCGTATGTATTTCTGAGGAGTTATGTATATATTCTGTTCTGACTTTAGCACATGAGAGCCCTCAGAAAACACGAAAGCATTAAAACGCTTAATTTCAAACTCAGCAGAATTATTCATAAATACATAACAAACAGCAATCATTGTCCTTGTATATTTCTCCGATCGTGTATTTGGATTGAATATTAATTTATATAAACCTGATTTAATCATTATTAAGTAAAAATATTAATATTCTAAAAACATTGTTACACACAAACTCGAAACATATGTTACACACACAGGCGAAACCGAAACTTGTTTATTTATCATCAGTTATAAATCACTAACAAGGTAAAATCTGCCCAATATAAAACAATAATCAGTGAAAAGCTGCAATAAAGCTAAGTGTTATTTCTAAATATAAGACAAAATAAGAGTTTTGAAAAATATATTTTTAGAGGCATGAATAATTAGCAGAGTAATAATACTGACAATACATAATTATTTGTACTTCTTAAATGAAAGTGTGACGACTCCTCTTAGTTTTCGTTAAGTGATTTTCTATAATTGTGTAATGTATTTGTTCAAAAAGATATCACACCTTTCCGTGGTCCTATTTCCCGTAAGTAAGTTCTACCTTATGCTTTCCCCAGTCACTAGTATTGAAAGATCAACAAAAAGTTCTGGAACAACATCCGACACGAACCGACAATTGGTCGGACGTCCTTTATAAATTACAACGCTTGAAGAAGGGTAACCATAATTTGTTTAAATATTTTGATTCAGCTGTTTTGTTAAAGATGTCTATGTTTGCCATGAATGCGAAATAATCATAATGAAGTTGACGCGGCTTGTAGGACCCGGGAAATATAAAAAAGTCTTATTTTATAGATTCAATGCAATTACTTCTAATAATGAGAAACGTCGATTTTGAAAAGGTTTGCGAAATGTCTCAATGTTATTGAGAATGATATTATCCCAACATACACGATATGGTAGACAAAACCATCAATTTATAATTAAGAAAGTGCAAAATGAATCTTTCTTTGTGTTTGGGTTCCTGCACGCCGGAAAATGTAATAAATGATTTATCAGTGGTGGATAATTAGTTGTGATCAAATGTATGCATCACAATTGCCGATAGTAAAGGTGTGAGGCGAATGGTACGTATTTCAGTAAGTGTATTGTCCCCACGCCAACTGTGACTTTTCTAGATGTAATATTTTATGTCAAAAAGAACTTATGCGTTGACCCAAAACCACAAAACTCCCAACACCATACTGTTAAGAGGCCTGCTTAAGTTCATTTAAATAAGGCTATCATTAGTATAGTACTTGGATAATTTTAGTTTCTGGAGTTTAACTGTTACCTCTCAACGGCGTTGTTTCACTTGGTTCTTTTGCTTTCTTAGGCGGAAAATCTGTTTCTGCATATTTTGTTAATCTGCTGTCTCCTTTTGCCATGTATTCATTCATTCCAAATGGTTCGGCTTCTGAACGGTCCTCATAAATCTTGTCTACAAATATAATTTTTCATAGAAGTAACAAATTAAAGAATCTATATACGCTAACATTTGTTTTGTCCAAGACGTACGGATACTTGTAAAGGGAAGAAAATGAATGTTTCGTGATAATTCATGCAACACATTAAAATGCATGTATAGGCTATTTTGACAATACTTTTTATTACTTTATAGCAATAGGGGAAGCCAGATCAAACCTGTGACTTATCTGGAAAAACACTTTAAAGCTTTTTTAAATTCCGAACACTCCCGAGCCAGAAGAAAAGTTCGGATTAGAAAGGTTTCCGGATTAGAAGGTTTCTTACATGTTCTTTTTCATGTTAGTTGCAGAATAGTTTAGGGATAGAAAATGTAAATGCATTTGAAATTGCAATATAATTATTTTATTTTTGCAATCTCTTATCGTTCATTTTAATGCATGTGATTACGAAAATAAAAATTAATAAAAATAAATAAATAAATGAATTAATTAATTGAATAATTAATAAGCAAAAAAGTTTTGTCCTCAAGAGTAAGTTAACCTACTGTGTTTAACAGGAGGCTGAGACATGATTAAATACTCGTACCAGCATTTGTAAATGGTTGTTTACTCTTATCTGATTCAGCAATTATCCGAATTCACTGACAGTTTTATTAATTTCCGTTACTTACTCACGTGTCATTTAATTCATTAAAAAGATTAAAAGATATTTCTGTTGCATCATGTCAAATATTCAATATTTATTGAAGGTGAAGAAAAACAATCAATAGATATCAAGGCAAGCTAACTGTAATATTACACTTTCGCAGATCATACGTTTCACACAAAATCAAGCGAAGTTACTCTTTACAGTTTGGTGAATGTTTACACCTGCAGGATGTGCGATTATTTGTTATTTTGAATGTAGGTGTGATATTTTTTGGCAAAATCTTTTAGGATCCGAGAGGTTAAATTTAGAGTACATTATGAACAAACCATTGAAAAAAATCGTCCGGAATTCGGAGTAGACTTGTTCCGAATCCGAAATAATTTTTTTTTGCTATTGAAAATAGAAGGAATAAAATGCGGACCGGACACTTCGCTAGGATAAGAAAGGATTCCGAATAAGAAAAGAACAGAACAGACATTTTATTAGACTTATACATAAGTATATCATCTAAATACATAAACATCAATGTTGAACATTTCACATATCTAGAATATATTACAAAATGTTAATCAAATGCACTTTAACATATATTTACATATACAACATACATGTATAACAAAGACAATAAGGTGGTAATAGGTATACTACAGCGCATCAGATCATATTATTTATAAATGAATTTCGAATAACAAATGCCTCTTTCATATATTTGCACGAATTGACAATATCGTTTTTATTTGAAGAAGTAAGCAAATGATGAAATTTAAAAACAGATGGATTGACAAAATAAAAACGAGAAGATTTCGGATTAGCAAGGTTCCACTGTACTTATATCTGAAATATAAATATGAGATCATCGCAGAATCTAATTGGTTATAGGTAATCAGGTATATAGAGATGACTGTCAAGTTTTAAAATTTAAAGTATATTGTATTACTTTACATTCTGTTTCTATATCCTGAGCTAAATTTCAACTTTTCAAAAATATTTATATAAAATTGAAAACATTTCAGATATGTTTGAAAAGGAAAGTAAAAGTGTGTTTTACAGACTGGTTACTTTGGTAAAGAAGCATGATGAAAATGCTCATTTCAGAAACTTTAAGGGCCATATGATTCAAACAAAATATTATTAATTGTCTTGACATATTAAACATACAAACCACCTGTTTAAAGTAGCTTGTTACTTTCCTACCAAAATTTGACAACATCTCAGATTTTTTGATGATTTCTGATATGCAAACATGTATTATTTTGTAAAGAAATAGCGTTAGTATGACATCAAAGCGATCCGTTTCGTCGGCGGCGGAATAGTGTCTTTTTATCAATAATTCCACCTGTTTTATCGATACTCATTCGATTTCTTCGTTTAAATTTTACAAGTAGAGGTATCCCTTTATATTGATATCTTTCTTAGAATTTTGCTGAATATACTGATATTCTACGGCTCACTTTTCACCGTTTTGACGTACACATCGTTATCGAAATACTAATTGTAATATGAAAAAAAAATAACACGGTGAATTTTGCTATAATTTTTATACCCCGGGCATATAGTAATTGAATCGTCCGTCCGTCTGTCCGAACGAGGTTAACCTAGAACGGCAAGTTGGATTTTTCTTAAGTTCTTCCTGTACCTTGGTTGGGCTAAGAGTTAGGTTTGGTGCACCATTTACCGGATTAAACTCCCAAGCAGTACTTATGCTGCTGACCGTTCCAAGGCGGCGCCCTTCTGTGTTCCTCAGATGTATGTCTTTGTTGTTTCATACTGCTTTGGGGACACATTGGTCTGTGTCTCTTGTATTCTCGTCTACGGTAAGTATCTCCACTTTTGACCCAAGTTTTATTTCTTTTATTTTGCCCCACTCTTTTCACCGAATATCTTATCCCCTGTGTCCTTGCTTTGTGGGCCTTTTTATTAATCATTTATTTGTTTTCTTTGATTTCCTTGTCGGTTACTATAATTTCTTCTTATGCATCATTTTAGTGATTAGCCTGTCCTTGCTCTGCCTTGCCTGTTTTTGTTTTTGGTCCTCCTTGGCTCCTTGCTTCTAGTTCTTGTTGCTGGGCCGTGTGGGGGTTGCATTCATTGAACGCTGCCTTTCCTTGTTGATCTTGTTTATCATATTTGATTAAATTTTATCATGCCACCAAAGGTGGGCCTAAAGGAATTGATCATTATGTTTTCTAAGGTGTATCAAAATTAGCAATGCTGCTGCCTTCTTTTTTCTCGGTTGACTCATTATCAAAGCATGAAATTCTGCAGGAAATAAACTGAAAATAATTGTAAATTAATTACAAATAATGGAAGCTTTTGATGTCTCTGTAGAGATGTGCAAGACTGACAGATGAAAAAGATGGTCTGAGGCTAGGTCTTTATATGTCCAACATGATAAATATGCAACGCTTGCTTAACTAAAATTTGCTTTGTTCGTACTCATCGTGGTCCCATCTGGATGACATCGTACCAAAACACGATGGCAACACGACGGTATTGCGGGGGCTTCACGTAATCGAATACCCTTCTAAAGACATTAGGGAATCTTCGTGTTTCCTTCGAATTGTCTTCTTGAGGCGATTGCACCGATGATCACACGAAGTAAATACGAAGACTACACGATTTGGCAACATGGCTTCACGACCGCCTACGAAGCGCAAAATTGGCATACGAATTCAACACGAAAATGAACCTTCGCAAAGATTTTGCGATGGCTCCCGATGACTGGGGTCATACGATGACAGAAGATGCCCTCACGAATGTGCCGATGTTATTTCGATCAGATCCGAATTTGACAAATTCGGGACAGTGTGACGCCTGCATAAGAATAAGCACCAGTTTGATCATGTGTCAATTTTTTGTTCAGATGATTTTCATTGTGTAGACATGTTTATTGTCATTTTCAGATATTTCTGATTAATTGAATAATTATAACAGTAATGGAATATAAAATAAAGTAAAAAATTGAATCGAATCATAAAAAACTTAATAGTATCAGGGTTAATAAAAAAAAACAATATTGGAAAATAAAGTGAAAATAAGAATCCCTAAAGAAAGCCCAACACGGCAAAATTGAAAATGTTGCAGGCTCGGTTTGATTGAGTCTGTTCATGGACGGTACTGTCAAGTGCAAACTACCGTCCACGCCCCCTAGCACCGGCTTAAGCAGAACTCAAAATTTAAGGCGTGCTAACGCATATTCAAAGCGTACTTACGCAAATTTTATGGCGTTGCAATGCTAGGTTTATAAACGCGATAATAAAATCAATGCTATGCAAAAAGGCAAAGTTACGCGAATGAAGGTGCTAGAATGCATATGAAGGCAAGTTAAGCTGTTTTAATGCGCAAGGATGACTTTAAAACTCATCATTAGGCATGCCAATGGAAACAAATGCGTATGAACGCAAATGAAGGCATAATAATGCAAAATACAGCTTTTTAACTAAAACAAAAGGCGTTATGACGTGTAACAAATGTGTTTGAATATGAAACAAAAAAACATAATAACGCTTAACAAAATAGTATTTAATGGCTTCATGAGCAATTAAACTAAATAAATTCTGAATATCATTTTTTCAAAAATAAGATAAGCAATAGTCATAGAGAATCATATATTTTCGTCAAAAGAAAGGATATTAATATAAAGACAGGATTTTGTGGTAAAGGACATTGAAAGGACATGTTGTGGTGTCTGTGCATAACATATATTACCTTTGTTATTTTCAACCTAAAAAGAACAGAAGATATTCAGTTAAACACATAGTAGACATCTTACCTGAGATTTCTTTTTGGGAATGTGATGTTGAAGATGGCAGTTGTAAACAATCAACTGCGCTAATTGTCATGTCATCTGAAAAATAAATTCACTAACTGAAATCGTCAATGTTTGAACACATAATATAAATGCTATCAGCCTTCGGGTTGGGTCCGTTAAATGGTTAACTGATCGGTCACAAGAATGCTATGAAGCACTCAAATGTTTTGCACTTGATATAAATAAAGAGTTTTACCGTGTAATAAAAAATCATTTTCAAATTACCATTAACCTGTTTTTTTTATCAAATAATAGTATCATTAAATGAGAATACAAGATCAGCCATTATCAATACTATCCAATATGTTCTAAGAATTAAAATAGGATGATTTCGGACAAAGTCCGTCTGAAAACAGTTTGACTTCCTGTAAATACCAAACGTATTTTGACAAAATAACTTTATGAAAATAAAGTTTACTTGGAAACTTTATAGTATATCGACAAAACTTCATATATGCATCCAGCTCAATTTTAATTTTTATTTCGTTTCATTAAACAACAATACCAAGCGCTAAATACATTCTGTTCAAATCTCAATTGACACATATTACCTTAAAACGATATTCATGGCTATAAATGGAATTGTAGATAAAATGTTGATTACGAATCAAATAGCGATGTTTTGTTCATAGTGGCGTCTGCGATCTTCCTTTTGAATGGAATGATATGTAATCATGAATAAATCGTAGAAATAGCATAAAAAGCAAATGATATATTTGGTACAATATATTTTTTAAACAATACTTTATATCTATTTTTTCTCAGTTAAGAGCACTTTAAAAGATGTAAAACTATGTTATATCAAACTACATGTATACAACAAAAACAGTTGTATACAACAAAAACAGTTCACCATGGAGGTACTTTCATGAATAAAACAACTGATTTATCTAATAAATGACTCGGTAAATTCAGAATCTACCGAAAGTCTAATTGTTTAAACGTCATAAGCTTGCCATACAATTTGTTGAAATAACCCTTATGACAGCCCTGTACTACTGCATTTAGTGTAAGAGTTTCTTTCGTTTGTTGAAAATACAATTCCTGCCACTATGTGAAGTATGTAATATCTAATTTTGTTAGTTTCACTGTCTGTCAATATATGTACAT